CACCACCAGCACCATCATCTCGCTCTCTCTCTCTCTTCCTTGTCTTTTACCACTCTCTTCCCTCTGTCCCTCCCTCCTAAAGCCTTCAGGCTCTGCTTGATTTATGCTTGCCCTCCCTATCCACACACACCACACCACCACCACCACCCACCCTTCCCTATCTCTCCTGGAGGTTGTGGCCCGACTAGTCCCTAAAAACAACAGAGAGAGCGCAAGTGAGGGAAAGAAGACAGAGAGAAAGGGAGAGAGAGAATAACAACCTCTTTTACTTTCCATCCTCCCTCCTTTTTAACCCAGCATTTTTTTCATTCCCCTCTCCCACACTGCTTTTTAAATTGCCTCTGAATTCTTGAGCTGTTTTAGTGCCTCACTCCCCCTTCTCTGCTGAAATTACTTTTTTACCCTCTCAAACTCTGGCATGCTGAGGAAGCAAGTTCCACCTTCCCTCCCCTCTTTGTCCACTCGAGGACAAACGCGCACTAATCGCATGTCCAAGTGTGCCGAGCTGCTTGTAAAAATGCACTTGCGATTGCTTGTTATGAAGCATGTCGCTGTAATGTCGCGCGGACAATGCTGCGCACAGCAAAGTCTTGTGACAACACGGCTTTTGTAATGCCTTGTCCTTTTGAACCTCAGGCTGGCCAAGCCATTACCAGGCCGACTTGGGGCAATACTTCCTTATGCACACACAAACACACACTGACATACACACACAAAGATACATAGTGAGTGAGTCCTTCTCTTTTGTTTGCACTCCCATACTCAAACATGCACACAAGCCCTACTTTCTTCTCTGACAGCTCTCTTGTGGTCGACAAGCCTCAGTAACTCGTTGCTTAACCACCCTGGACTTTTTCTCTCCATTGTGTTTGGCTACTGTCTCTGTTGATTTGAAGTTGTGTATATATATATGTGTTTGTGTGTGTGTGTGAGTCTGTATCTGGAGGTGTCAAGGAGTGTCAATTAACAGTCAGATAATTTGTTTGTGTGCCTACTGTAAGTAGCGGCTGTGTATCAATTTACTTCATTCATTCATCTATCTGGCAAAAGTATTTTTGGAAAACAGAAACTCTTCATTTAGAGAGGAAGGGGGGTACTTGGTGAGATACACACACACACACACACAGAGAGACATACTCCTTGAACACAATCAGAACAGAAGATCAGGGGTCAAACTGGGTCAGCTGACCCTTCCCTCCCTTTTCAGGCCCTCTCTTTCCTTCTATTTACTGCGTCAAAGCGTGCTCTCTAATAATACAACTCCCCTTGTGACACACACACACACACACACACACACACACACACACACACACACACACACACACACACACACACACACACACACACACACACACACACACACACACACACTTAACTCAGATATACAGTGCACCTTCCAACCACAGCACCATAAAACTGTATCTTCTATCCATTAGCCGTAACTCTCTCAATGGACGATAAATGCAGTATCCCTCACAACACATTTGAAGTATAGTTCAACACGCACATCTTTTTATTCCAAGGCAAGTCTTATTCCGCCTTTGCTTTTTCCCACTCAAGCCTCCACATAGCTTGCAGCATCGCTCACGCACATACACACAAACACTCACATGAACAAAGAGAAGCACCATTTCCACATATTTGTCTCTCCTTTTAAAAGGGGTTTTATTTAGCATAAATGTTGAAGCCAAGGGTGCCTGGCTACCATGGCAACCAAATTAAACGGAGGATCTCTTCAGAAAGCAGAAATCTAAATTATTCGGACTCTTTTATGAAGGGGAAAATGAAAATTCCCTTCACTGTAGAGAGGCCACTGCACTGTAAAGGCAGAAGAAAGGAGGGGAAAATAGATGAGGGAAATGCTATTGTTTTATTGTATCTGACCATGCCGTTCAAAGCCATATCAAATGGCATTGAAATTCATAGGTTGTCTCATGACAAGCAGTACGTTAACACTCAGCATATGTGCACAAAGGAATGATGTAACCACAGTGTCTCTAAAACTCCAGATAAACCTATTGCGTCTGAAAGACAGCACAATATGTGTGTTTACAAATCCTCGGAGAAACCCGGTACACGTATGATGAAATCCATAAGCTGCGTGCATAGGATTAGGTGCGAGTCTTTCTGGTGTGGTAAATGATTTTATCTGTCGGAACAGGATGAGGTTTAAGTAACACACCATCTACGCTGGGCCCGATAAAGCTTACATAAGTGAAGGAGGATTATGTAGTATATTCCGATTATTTGGTGCGGAAGCCTGTTTGTGGTCAGCCGAATACTAATTTCTAATATCTCATGCTTAGTCTCAGAAATGCGGATAAATCCTCAGAAAGCAGGATGCTGTTTGTGGCACGGCAGATTGTGTCAGAAGGACGGAGAGAGTTCTTTCCCTAATGTGTACAGCACAGATGTTAGTTTCACACATTTTCAGAATTTTGACTGTTATGTGCGAGGAAATCATGAAGCAATCGCTTTTCCATAACTCGGCCATTTAATCTGCAGAGTGTGACTGAAGCATTGTTACTGTATAGTATGAAGAGGGCGGACATGTTCCATCTGTAGATGCACGAGTCCAAGGGATGCTGGGAAAAGTGGTCAGGGGTCATTCGCTCGTCCAATGAACAGATGAGTGGAGGGAGATGGGGGTCAGAGAGGTGAAACTATTTTATAAATAATATATAAATAGATTAATATAATTAAATTTGTATGAATATAATTTATAAATATAAGTGTGTGTGTGTGTCGTGTGTGTGTGTGTGTGTGTGCTGTGTGTGTGTGTGTGTGTGTGTGTGTGTGTGTGTGATGTGTGTGTGTGTGTGTGGTGTGTGTGTGTGTGTGTGTGTGTGTGTGTGTGTGTGTGTGTGGTGTGTGTGTGTGTGTGTGTGTGTGTGTGTGTGTGTGTGTGTGTGTGTGTGTGTGTGGTGTGTGTGTGTGTGTGTGTGTGTGTGTGTGTGTGTGTGTGTGTGTGTGTGTGTGTGTGTGTGTGTGTGTGTGTGTGTGTGTGTGTGTGTGTGTGTGTTTGTTGGCCCACAGCAGATCTATGTTATTGATTGACTCTTGTGGCTGCTGGGCTGCCCACTGAAGGAGGGGGCAGAGCTCTAATGAATTCCTGCACCTCATGCCCCTTGCGCCAACCCCTACACCCCCTCCTTAATTAACTTTGTGTGTGTTTGTGCGCGGGTTTGGGAGGGGGTGTGCGTGGATGCATGAGTGTGTGTTTTGTGTGTATCTTCTGTGCTTCCTCTACAGCTCAACACCCCCGCTTCTACGCCCGCCTTTTTTTTTTATCTTCCTCTCTCTCTCTTTCTGTCCGTGCCTCGTCTCCTCTGTCTTCATTCCTCCTACTTTCTCTCCTCTTTTTATATCTTCCTCTGCGAGTAGTTTGATGGCCGCGGATTACTTCGTATGTGTGTCACTCTTATCTGTCGCGCCCCATCTTCTCCCCCCCCCGTCCTCAATACCTCTATCCCTTCACCTTTCGGATCTATGCGTGTAAGTGCAACTGTGCATACAGAGCGTGTATCCAGCCATCTGATCTGTGATCATTAATCTATACTGAGCATGAGAAATGACTGACACAGTGTGTGTGTGTGTGTGTATGTGCGTGTGAGGGAGAGAGAGAGAGAGAGACAGAGTGGTCAACATTGACCTAGTAGGCTGTGAAGAGGCGTTTTACCCATCGGTATTCCAGACGTTGAGGCGAACTACTGTCTCTGTCACCTTGACTCCCCCTGCAGCAGATGAGCTCTTGGCTGCACAGGAAACACTTAGCTACTGTAGTTAAAATGGACAATAGGGCTTTTCTGTTCTCTTGCTCCCATTTGATTATTTCCTTCTGTCTTTATCCTTTGCATCTCGACTTGTTTCTGTTCTCCATGCTCCTGCACATCACCCCTGTTTGCCTTCATGCTGTTTATTCGCCTTTAGAATTTGCCATCTCAGCTGTCCCTGCATGGGCCTTTATTGAATGGTAGACTTCAATATTAGGATGTCACAAGGTTTCTGTCCAGAACAATCACACATATTTACGCGCACACAAGTCTGCATTAGTACTCACTTGTGTGTGTTTGTTTTACATTTAGACAAACTGTTCTTTTAAAGTCTATCTGCCTGTGATGTGTATTTCAGTCCAAGTCTTTGTTAGAGAAAGAAACCTGTCCTCAGTTAAATGTCAATTAGAAAGTGTGTTTGCATATCCATATTTGTGTGTGTGTGTGTGTGTGTGTGTGTGTGTGTGTGTGTGTTTGTGTTAAGCGTAGTTTTCGTCAGCAGTGTTGTCTGACAGTCTTGTAGATCTACAGTGGAACCTCCAGCGACATGTCTACCGCTGACAGCTTCTTTACACACTCTGCTTTCAACGACACTGACGGCTAAACACACACACACACACACACACACACACACACACACACACACACACACACACACACACACATACGCATACGCGCAGACATAACGCACACACACAAACCACTTCTGTGTCTGTCTTTCTCTCTCTCACTGTCTCCCTATGATCTCCCTGTATTTTTGTTGACTGGTGATGATGAGGTGTGTTAGGGAGTCGAGGAGGGAGAAAGATGATTCAGAGCGGTGACGTGTTGGTAGTTACTGCCGAAAACACTGGGTGTAAACGATGACTCGGCTGAGAGGTTTGAAAGAATTGGTTTAATATGGTGGGCTTTTAGTGTTTTCACTCAAGCTGTTATCACTGTCGGCTGAAAGTATTCAAGTACATGTTAGTTGTTTTTTTCATCCCCTTAGAAAGGGTTTCACAAATCTAACTGTCAGAATTTTCAGCCAATACTGAAGCATGTAATCCCGTAATTAAGTCAAAACAATGCTCTGTGAAATGTCTGGAGACATTTTTCCATGACACCAACTTGGATTTCTTTGCTTTACTTTGTGTTTCTTTACAAGCCATTGTAATATCAGCCAGTAATGGCTACAGGAGGACAGAGAAGCCTTAACTCATCTGCTCTTACTTCATCTCTTTTCAGGGGCAGACGTGACCGAACCCAACAGCTCAGACAGCCGCGGCGAACGCCTCGACTTCTTCCTCAAACAGGAAGAGCCTCTCACCACAGAGCCCAGCTACCTGGGTCCCCACGAATCAGAGGAGCCCGGGGGAGGAGGCGGGGGCGGAACAATGTCGTCTGTAGCCAATCTGAAGGCGGCGCTGATGAGTAAGAACAGCCTGTTGTCTCTGCGGGCTGAGATGATGGGAGATGATAACCCCTTACTGTTCGAGTACCTGCCCAAAGGAGCACACTCCCTGTCTTGTAAGTCACTATTTACTAACACTCTGCTCACACTGATTGTTACACACACACACACACACACACACACACACACACACACACACACACACACACACACACACACACACACACACACACACACACACACACACACACACACATCCACACAACTCATTATAACGTGGGTATACATGCTTTGGATCTACTGGTGTATTTTTGAGTAGCAGCTCATGTGGTCACCTGTGTGAGGCATAAAACATACAGGCTTGACTGCTTTTGACATGAGTATCCTCTTCTTCAGCATGAGTATTTTCGCTCATCAGCCACTGTCTTTGGATAACTGAATGTGTGTGTGTATGTGTGTGGTGCCACTTGTGTTTGTAAAGAGTTTGCGTGGCTATGCCAGTGATGACTAGTCAGCAGTGACTCAGTGAGAGAACATTTAGCTGGGATCGCTCTTGCTTTTGTGAGAAAAATGTGTTTGGTTTTATGTGACAGTTTCTTTGTGCATATCAGTGGGTACACGGCTGTATTTTACAGAGGCAAAATAACAAAACAAAATTGCAGCAACTGTTCTACTATTGCCTACTTACTATATATCATCCCCAAAAACGATGAAACGATTTGCGCTTCTCATCTACGACACACACCTATTCATCTTGCTAACAGCACCTTCAAAATAAGGAGTATTTTCCTTAAAATTGTATCCATAATAAACAGTGAAACAGAAAATGATGATAGAGAAATGTTAGGTTATGTGAGAATATATTATAAAAACATCACATTTTTTATGTAATTATTCATGACTGCATAGAGTGTGTGTTAAGCCTTCAATGACCTTCTCATCTTTGAAAGTCTGAATACCTCCACACATGAGAAACAAAATAACTATTTTTATCAGCTCTTCAATTGAAAGCTTCTACTAAATTTCAAATTAACACTTTTTTAACCACAACCATTTTTATTATCCATATGTATGCCTAATTTGTCCATGTTAACATGAGATAGTTCCCTTTATTCGTTTTGTTTGCCTTCAGTTAGGGTGTTAATCTGTCTGCATGTGTGTATCTCTGTGTGTGTGCCAGCGTGAGCGTATTATTTGTTTGAGTCCATGTCTGTGTGGGCACATTTGTGTGTGTGTGTGTGTGTGTGTGTGCAAACGCGTGTGTTTGTGTCTCTTTGCTTTTACTGGCTAGTAATTGGATCTTTTGTCCTGAGTTCTGCCTGTCTTTGTGAGCGGAAGAAAAGCAAAGGAAGGGTACAACTCTGAGCCGAGTGATGCCTTTTGAGTTCAGCCCCACTCACCTACAGAATAAAAGACAGGGACCAGCTGAAAAGAGGAAAACACACGTTTGCTGTTGCACATAGACGCTCGCACACGCAAGTCACATCAACCCTTTTGTGTAAGTGTTAAGTGTGTGGGATTGAGATGTTTCTGTTGGCTTAAAGAGGAGAATCAGATGCTGTCACAGCACAGAGAGACAGCCTCACAAGCTACCAAAGAGAAGAAGAGGCTTTTCTGATATGAATTCACACTGTGCAGCAACACTCAGCCTTACTACTACATGAAAAGGAGATTTTGAGAATTCAGAGAATGTTAATAATTTGGCCCCTCGAAAAAAAAGAACTGTACGAGTCTTATGGCTGTATTTCAGTTGTCGCCAAAGAAACCTCAGGGAGGGTTTTTGGTTAGCCAAACCTTATTTTGAATTCACTACACAATAGGGGTTGGGGAAATGGGCTTGTCAAGATGCCCAACAACCTCCCCTCCGTCCCTGGGTCGGTCCCTGTGTCTAAATGAGGAGAGAAATAAACAAACACTGTACCTCAGATTACTGGGCGGAGGATAAGTCTGCCTGGTTTGACAGATCGCTGCTCCCTGCCTCCCTCCCTCCCTCCATTCAGCCCTCTTTCCCCCTCCTCCTGTTCTCCTCCCTGCTTCTCCTTCACCCCTGCTTAACATCCTTCCTGTCCCTCCTGTACTCCCCCTCACGTCATCCATCCCTCCTTCCCTTCATCCATTTCTCCTTCACCCCTCCTTAACACCCATCCCTCACACTCTCCCTCCCCTTTTGGCCGGCTCATGCAGTTCCTCCTTATATGTCTCTCTCCTGTCTCTTTTCCCCCTCTTTTACTTCAACTGTAGAGCATCAAAGTATGTTGGTTTCAAATCCTGGGAAAGTATTGATCTAGGCAGAGAGGAGGTAGAGCAAGGTCACCTGGCCCAATTCAGGAGAGACCGGTGAATATCAGCGGCAAAAAGGCCTTGACACAGAGCTTCTGTCTCCCCCTTCCCTCCTTCCCTCCCTCCCTTCGTCTTCCTCTTTCTCTCTTCTCTATATAATTGACTGTTTAAGAAAACATACTTCTCCTAAAGATTCATACATCCAAAATCGTACCAAACTGAGAATCAATGTACTAGAGTTGCCCCTGAATGCTTACTTCACATTCAGCTATTCAAACCAATCCAACCTTCACCTTGTTGACAGGGCCTGCCATTCAACTGCACAGCTCCTCTCTTTGCTATCCTTTGCATGGGTCACGGACTACCTCCTCCTAGCATGTGGAATTCCAAAATCTGTAAATCCAGTCAGTATGTCAATCAGCCTCCTCAATCCAATTAAGATCATTGGGATTTGGCCCTGCTACCCCTTTTGGACGACAGACAATCAATGCCAGACAATGGATTTGTCCGGACCCTCCCTGCGCACCTGTCCTCACTGCCACCGCACACTGGCTGTAAAGAACATCCAATTAAATATAGGGATCATGCTGACATTATTGAACTTTTCTCTTTACTGCCTGCACTCTTCACTTCACATCTACGTTTGACTCACTCCATGCAGCAGCTCACAGTGGCTTCACAGTTTTTTATGATTTTTTATTTATGATAGTGACACAAATCTTCTGCAAGAGACTTTTCATATTAAACATTTTTGGATCCTTTATTGTAAAACCATATCCTCCTCCTGCATTTTTTAGTAAGAACAAAGTGAATGGTAGATATTGATGCAGGAGTTCTAACTTCATAACAGGACTCATAATCCATTTATTTGATTGGAACTTTTTTAATTGAATCTCTTCATACAGTGTCTAAAACACAAGTCCAAACCAGGTTTGTTTCCCCGTATCATTAAGCAATAAAAGTGCAATAAACCTGTCCAAAGGCTTTTGCTAATAGGGCGTCATTAAGCGTTTTTGTCGTGGAAAACTCCTGCAAACAGACTTGAAAGTTGATTGGCTATTGGCAATTGGTCAGTCAGCTTACAGTAATTGCCTCCCTAAAGCCTAAACAGATGTAATAGGTCTGACCCCACTCAGAATGGGGTGGAGGAGAGCATGCAGGTTGTAGTTGTAAGTAATTTAGTTACTCTACATGAATGTGTTTTTCTTCTCTCTATTTCATTTACTCGTGTCACTTTGCACCGAGTCGGCCTGCTGTTTTCTGTAATCTGTACGGCTTTGCAGACACAACTGCAATATTAAACTCAGTGAGACAAGATTGCAAAGAAATAACAATTGTATTTTGAAATTCTTTAAGAAGCTGTGTAACAAGTCAACAGAGCTATTCCGTTAGTGTCTTTTCCTAAGAAGGGTCCACTGCCAGAAGACAATTTGTTAATGAGCTGCGCCTCTCACCTGTAGCTCATCTCTTTACTGTCTCCCTTTCTGCCTCCCTCTTGCTGTTGTTCTTCCCGACACTGCCGGGGGTGGGGAAAAGGAGATGGGGAGTTGAGCATTTGTGTGTGTTCTCAGTAAGTGGGAGTGGGGAGTGTCGGGCGCGGTAGTTTAACATTCCAGGAATCCGTCCACGGTCGAGCCTCATGGTTGTGTGATTCTGTCCGTTGTGCAGAGGAGGGCAATGAATGGCTAACGCTCTGCATAACTCTGGACACATTCCCCAAAACACTGCCCACACTTGCGCATACTCGCATACGCACACACACACAATCCACAATAACCTGCAACACATTACTCTATGATTTATATGCACTTTGAGAAAAAGAGGTGCACTCACAGTACCAGCTAATGGTGATGTTAATGTAGCAGAAAAAGCTTCTGTGTGAATAGTTATAGCGAGCTAAAGGCCCTGTGAGGAATTGGGAAATCTTCATCCACCCTGCCTTTACTTGTTGCCGGTAAACATCTTACATGGTCGATACAGTCGTCCTTTACCCTGCGCGTACAAAAAGTCTTTACTTGAGCTGCAAGATGGCTCCTCTCCAAAACAATCTCTCTCCACGCTACAGAGGATCCTCAAGCCCTCTCCATATATGCATTTTACTCGCACACACAGCACATGCACACTCTCTCAAGAAACACACACACACACACACACTGCCATCCTCTGCGCACGCATGTGGGTGGAAGGAGAAGGAGAGCAGAGGAGCGAAAGAAACAGTGAGAGAAAGAGAGAAGAGAAGCCCTAACCCTTTCCCCTCGGCTGGTGGAAAGTGAAACTTCAGAGTTTTTCTTCCTCCCCCTCTCCACAGTGTTTGATAGTGTAGCACTGGCAGCCTCTGTGTGCCCCCCTGCCCACTCTCTCCCGTTGTGTTCTGGTGGCCAGCTGCTAGCAGAGTTGCAGTTGTACGTGAGTGGGTGGGTGAGACTCGTTTCCTGTGCTCCTCAGGGCTCCGCTCCAACAACTACTGCAGCACGCTCCGGCCAGGGGCCATGGGGGCCACTATTCATAACAAACAGGGGGCTGGCTCCTCTCCTCCTCCTACTCTTCCTCTTCTTCCTACTCATCTTCCACCATCACCACCACCACCACCACTACCGCCGTCATCATCAACTCACTACCCACCCACTCCACCCACGCCACTGCACCCCTCTGAGCCTCGGCCCCTGGAGGCCCCCGGGCAGCGGGCCGGGGCACCCCCGCTGCACTCAGAAGGGTCGGACATGGAAGTGGAGGAGGCCCCCAAGGGCCCGGAGCCCTACACACTGCCTGAGGTAAGCCCACAGATCCTGGCTTAGCTCCAGGTCAGAGGTCGCTCTCTGGGTATGACTCCTCCACTCAGACAGGTTTCAAAGAGTGGAGAAGAGCATCCAGGGAGCGGCTTCACCCTTTTTCTACAAACACACCGAGGGGGGTTGAGATGACAGATAAAAGAAAGTGACTCGAAACATGGTGGAGGGGTGGGGTTGTGGGGCGTTATTAGGAGAAGTAGGGTTAATGGGGTTGTTTTTCATGATTGAAAAACATATAAATTACGCAGCATCTCTCAACCCCTCTCTGTGCGGAATCTGGCAACATTCAGACTGTTTTCTTTTGTTTGTCTTTCTTTTCTGTGTGCTTTGTTTGCCTTTTTTCTTCCTCATTCTGTACTCTTGTCTCCCTTTTAGTTTTTTCATATAATCTTTTTTAATATAGCCAGACCCAAATCCACCTTCAAGCCAAGAGTCTTTGCTCGGTATTAGCGATAGTTTATAGTGGTTACATGAGAGATGACACATCTGGTCACAATGGCAGCGTGTGCTAAGAGATGGCAGATAACGGGCGAGGTAGTGAGATGAGACTGACTAGAATCAATACAAGTAGACAATGAGAGGTTTGCTCTCGCAGCCCAGGAAATTGTTTGTTCTGTTCTGTGTGTGTGTGTGTGTGTGTGTGTGTGTGTGTGTGTGTGTGTGTGTGTGTGTGTGTGTGTGTGTGTGTGTGTGTGTGTGTGTGTGTGTGGGTGTGTGTGTGTGTGTGTGTGTGTGTGTGTGTGTGTGTGTGTGTGTGTGTGTGTGTGTGTGTGTGTGTGTGTGTGTGTGTGTGTGTGTGTGTGTGTGTGTGTGTGTGTGTGTGTGTGTGTGTGTGTGTGTGTGTGTGTGTGTGTGTGTGTGTGTGTGTGTGTGTGTGTGTGTGTGTGTGTGTGTGTGTGTGTGTGTGTGTGTGTGTGTGTGTGTGTGTGTGAGGCAGTGTGTGTGTGTGTGTGAGGCAGTGTGGGCGTGTGTGAGTGAGGCAGTATGAGCATGTGTGGATTTGAGTTTTGTGCCAGTGTGTGCGTGTTTGTGTGCGGGTGAGTGTTTTAGGAGCAGCATTTGATTTCAGTGGACCTGCCTCCCAACAAGCCTCCCTATCTTGGTGGACAAGCCATCTGTTTGCACAGTGCATGGTGTTCTGTTCTTAGAGAGGAGGAGGAGGAGGAGGAGGAGGAGGAGGAGGAGGAGGAGGAGGCGGCGGCGGCGTGTAGGGGATGAGGATATGGGTGGGGGCTAGTTCTGAAATTAAGTTTTTGTCTTCACCTGCCACTGTGGTCAGGTCACTGAACATTTCTATTTGCCACTCATTTATTTGTCTGCCACTTTTAAAAATCTATGTAGAACGCTTAACAATTGACAATGCTAAAATGTCTTAAAAAATGCCATAAATTAAATCATAGCATTGTATTCCATTCAAGTCATAATAAAGTATGTCTTAAAAAAGTTGTAGGTATAGTAAGGTATGTAATAAAAAGTCCTAGTTGTGTATGCCATAAAAACGTTATATATAAAGTCATAGTTTAGTACTGTTCATCATAAAAAATCATTGAAAAATCTAAGTATAGTAGTTTATGTGAACATTTATGTACAGACAATTTCCTAGTATATAAATCATTAACAATACCATAGTATAGTTTATCGTAAAAAAATTCTAAAAATATCATAAATAAATATCATAGCATATTATGCCATACAATATAATAAAACAAACTGGAGAGAGTTCATCACAAACAATGTCCATGTATAGTATATCATATGTAATATCTTACGAAACAGTTATTATTATTTTGTCATAAAAAGTCATACTATACTATGTTTTGGGGGGGGGGGGGAGAAATGGCACGAGCGTGAAGAAGATTGAGGAAGGATAGAGTTCAGATGGGGTGTACATGAGAAAAGGGAGAGGTCTTTAGGGCGCCTTACTGTATCAGGCAGATATTATTATTAATACAGTAGATCAAACTTACTGCTCGTTCTGTGTCTCATAGGAAGCCATCCAGGATCTGTCAGCTCTTTGCAAGATTGTGTTTGCTTGCTAATCTCTAACAATGTATCCGTGTCTTTAAATCACTCTGATCTATGTATGTGTTTCTCTTCTTTTCTTTACTGTTTTCATGTCTTTGTTATTGTGTTTCTCACAGACTAAAGATTGTCTTCGCAGACTGTCTCACCTGCCTGCCTCCTGCATGCCCAGACAACAATCCATACAGAACTTATTAATGTGTGTGTGTGTGTGTGTGTGACATAACAAGATCTGTTGTGCTTACAGGAGGGTGTTGAAGACAAAGAAGACATGACACAGTTCAGCACAGGTATAGTTTAGGCTTTACATTTAAAGCATATCACACATTAAGATAACTTAAGAGAGAGTTTGCACCTTTTATCTATTGCTCTCACTTCCACTCTTTCCTTCTCGCTATCTCAGCCTTGGAAGGTGACCAGTCTCCGGTGGAGAGGGATCAGATGGGCGGTGAGAGCTGTGCTGGGCGGTTGACTGTTCCTGCATCAGTAACCGTGGCTGGCAGAGGGGCTAAAGGGCTGACGGTGCTGGGCGGAGAGGCTGGGTCAGGGAAAATGGTCCTGCCAGAGCCCGGTGCCTGGCCCTCTCAGGGGTTCGCCTGCTCCCTGTGCAAACGGCTGTTGAGCAGCCTGGAGCATCTGAGGGAACACGAGTACCGCCACACCCTGTCTCTGATGGCCTTGTCTCTGGACTGGCCAAACATGCAGGGTCCGCACCACCAACCTACTCAGCTCCGTCACCATCCACAATCCCAGCCTCTTCACTTCTTCCAGTCTCTCTACCGCCCCACAGTGGCCGAGCCCACGTCGGCCCGCTACCTTTGCTCCCAGTGCCCCGCAAGCTTCACCCTCAAATCAAACGCAGACAGACACGAGAAGACCATCCACTTCAAGAAGAAGCTGATGCAGTGTTTGTACTGTATGAAACACTTCAGAGACCGCACCGACCTGCACAGGCATCTGTCCTCCGTGCACTCCAAAGAAAGAGGGCACACCTGCCCCGCCTGTGCCAAGGCTTTTAGCACCCAGAAAAACCTGGCGACACATGTTAAAGTGTGCTGCCAGATGGGGTCAATGCCAGGAGCTCTGCTGGGAGGCAGCACTGGGATGGAGATGACTCAGGGTGGGGTTATAGATTCCCTGTGGAGGTTTTCTCATGAGAGGAAAGTTGACAATCATGATCTCAGTATCAATGTGGAAAATTGAGGCAGACTTTGTGCACTCATTTATACCCATCAGTTAGCAGCGTATCGTCACGTGTTTACGTTCACGCCAAGATGCTCTGTGGCGCAATTGCACTAAGAAAGAAAACGTGAACACATCATCTTAGGGACACCTTTTTTAAATTGTGTTTCTTTTGTTAAATATTGTTTATATATGTCAATACTTTTTTAACTAGAATTCAGAGCTTACGTCAACAATGGACAATTGCTATGCAAAGCTGAGCTGTTTAATGAACTGACAGTTTCTTAGTTATCTTTGGGTTTTTGAAAGGTTTCAGTTTGCACTGATTGGACAAAAACAGGTGAATAACTTTTGGTTGCGTTGCCGAGTGGGTCGAGGGGGGTGGGGTCTTTCCGTCTCACCAACCTAAAGCACTTGTCTGGCTCTCTGTCGCCAGTCACCAGTCTGACTAAACTCTTCTCTCCTTTTTAGGCAGAGAGATCTTTATCTGTGTGTCCACCCCTGCACTATGGGCACAAAGACACTCAGGCTGTACTTTGGCTCACAACCCACACAACCACACCACCTGCAGGAACTTTGTACAATTGCAGCATGAGAGCAGAATAAAGACACAAATTAGATTATGTCCAAGGCCAGTGATAGCTCAAAAATGGCTTAAAACGAAATGGATGGTGGTTACTTTTCTTCAAACTGAAACTCAAAGAAAAAATCACGAAGTAATTGTATCACCATCCCCACTGGACACGTAGAGTCTCGTCTTCAGTTATCCCTCTGACATGATTAGCTTCAGTCATTGCTGTCAGATAGGTGCAGATGGAGGGGATGTGCCCAACGAGACAAAGCGTGCTAAAACAATAAAGCAGTAGCAGCTCAGATGGGGGTTGGGCGGTGTCATTTTCTCTCTCTCTGTCCTTCTCCTCCGTCCCATATCTGTAAGTCCTCTGTTGGCCAGAGCTGGACAGTAATTGGTCCTTCATGGCTCTGTCCCCTCTTGACCCCTGACCTCTTCATCTGAAGAGGAAGTAGGGTCAGAGGGGCAGATGCCCCTTAAACCAGATGAGCGTCGTGATGCCACTGCTGCGGACAGATAATGGTTTGGTTGTGAGACAAGTGGCTTAAACGCAGGAGAGGAATATACTGTGGATGGTGAAGACAGTAACGCAGAGGGTGTTATAGAGCTGCAGGATATTGGAATCAGCATGAACACTGGCTTCAAAATCATCGCTAATGTAAATTCACACCAATTTCTGCCAAAATGTTCTCAGCAGGCCTGTAACTATAAACCAATATATTTCCCTGATACCAAATGATAACGCTCTTTTGTGAGTATCCAAATGGAAGACATCCACCTGTGTGTCCTTCTAATAGTCTACAGTCGCTCCACTGTCATTTCTGTGGGCTCAGTAAAGGAAGAACAGGTGGGGAATATGCTGTTGTGTAAACATACACACCAAGTACTCCCAAATGCCAAATCCTTTCTGATACGACACCCCAGGTAGGGTGTCCTAGCCAGCAGACACCGACTGGCAGGCTCAGAGAAGTCAGGAACTGATCAGGAACTCTGCAGAGACAGCCAGTCAGAAGAAATGGCAAATACTGTAAAGGCTGTTGTGTGGCTCGTTCTGTAAATGTGTTGTAAATACTGAAAGGTATTTTACTCCAGATTATACTTTATTTTCCTTGGAAAAAAAACACATTTTGTACAGAGATAGGACATTTTTAATAATCCTGCTTGTAGTTTTGATGCTGTAATTAAACTGTGATGCAAAATGAAATGAAAACCTCTCCGTAGTTCTTTATCTTTTATCCGTGCCGTGCATATCATTCACACAATCATAAATATTCCTTTCTTTTCATTTTAACTCACCGCTCAGCAGAATATTTTCTGAATAAGATGTCCGTATCAGTTGTGCATTTGATGTGTGCTTGCATGTTTTTGTGCTGTTGAGTGTTTAATCAGGGCAGAAGTCGATTTGCAGATTGAGGTAATTATATTGTATCACTTTAAGCCTAAAACCCTAAACTGCGTGTGTGACCCCACCTTTCTGTACAGTAGTTATGTTGTGTTGTGCGTGAGTAGCCCGACGTCCAGTCCTGATCTCTCATGGTCATACACTGTATGCCTTGACTGCAAAGCTTTTCACACACACAATCTGCCCTTCACCTGGCTTAACCATTTGAGTCTAGACCTTAAGATGATTGGCTTTCCACACCTCTACACAAGATTGTGACAAGTTATTAACATTAGTTTTCTTTTCATTTCATTGCTAAAGCATCTCTTTGTGTGTGTGATTTTATTTCCTAGCCCCCAGGCCTCTTGTCATTGTCTGTGTTTGTCTTTCTGTCTGTGTATTGCTGTCCATAGCAGAGACCCTCTAGAGCAACTAAAGCAGACTGACTGTTGTGTGTCGTGTTTATAGTATCTCTTCGCCTTTATTGCTTTAGTATGGAGGAAGAGCTGTTGCCAGGGCAACTGTAGCTTTGACTGGGATTGGGGTGACCATGGGAATTGATGGTACATTTCTAGACCTTGGCGCTAATTAAATGTAATAACTGAAAAGTAACGTCTTGGTTTATTTAAAAGAGCTTCATTGAACACTAATCCTTTTTTGTATTCTTTTTTTCTCTCCCTCTTGCTGTCCTTACAGTGAATGACTTCACCGTGATCCGTAAAAAGTTCAAGTGCCCCTACTGCGGTTTCTCTGCTATGCACCAGTGCATCCTAAAAAGGCACATGCGCTCCCACACCGGCGAGAGGCCCTACCCTTGTGAAATCTGTGGCAAGAAGTTCACCAGGAGGGAGCACATGAAGCGGCACACACTGGTGAGTGCAGCTATCCGATCACCCGCAGGAGACAGGCAATCACACATACATTGGGTTTTTTATGGGGGTCTCTGGGCACACCTTAAAATATTGCAATATTACAATATACACACTTTTTGAAATATCCAAATCTTTCAATGGCATTTAAAGGAGCCATAACTGTCAGACAAATGTATGATAAACAACACAGGCTTAGTGTTTGAGGAAGGGTCGAGAGGTTTGACGACACCGCAGCAAAATCCACGCTCTGAGGGCAGCCCACTCGAGGGGGGGGGGGGGGGTTGGGCAGAATCACCTTCACCACACAGCTCACCTGTAGAGTCACAATATCTCTAACACTAGCTGGTGTCTATAACTTTGATCAACATAATATATTATGACTTTGTTCATGACATTTTAAACACGCTTTGCATTGACGTACTATACTAGTTTTTTCGACATGTATTACTTTTTCAAATTCTGGTCAGACTATCCTATGCCTTTTTTTCAAATGTTCAGCATACTATACTATGAGACTTTTTTTCACTTCCCATACCGGGAGTTGAACCCGGGCCACCTGGGTGAAAACCAGGAATCCTAACCGCTAGACCTTGTATATAGACTCGTATTGCACTATTCCACTTTTAAAAAAAACTATTTTTATTTTTTGCATTACTTTAATATAATATACTTAATATTGTTTGTAATACTGTCTGCTTATCTGTATTATTGTGTTGCATTGTTGGAGAAGCCTGTGACCTAAGATTTTCAACGACATAATTACTCTGTAGCTATGTTAGTTTGACAATAAAGAACCTTGAACCTTGTGGGACAATATTTCATCTATTTTCATTCATTTTAAAAACATACTATATATTTTTGTCAACATAATATATATATAACTGTGACTTTTATTGGCTTTTTTGGCTTTATTTTCACCATAATACTACTACTGTATACTAATATAATCCTATAGTTAATTTCTTTCACAATATTTAAGATACACGTACTATACAATGACTTTCTTTGACAAACGTTACTTTGCCAATTTTTATTTTGACACATACTGTACCATATCATTCTATAGCCTTTTGTTCATTATTTTAAACATAAACCAAGCCAAATAACAATAGCAGATTGCAAAGCCAGGGTAACACATTTTGTCAAAATATACTTTGTTCAGGATATGCAGGGCTGATCATGGAAGACGGTAGGCCTTTGTTTAACCCCTGGCCATAGTGTAAAATATTACATTAAAAAAACGTTTGTGTTTCCTTTCAACAGGTCCACAGTAAAGACAAGAAGTATGTGTGTAAAGTGTGCAGCCGAGTCTTCATGTCGGCAGCCAGCGTGGGAATCAAACACGGCTCTCGGCGTCACGGCGTCTGCGCAGACTGCTCTGGCCGAGGCATGGCCGCGCTGCTGGACCACAACGGGGAGGTGGGAGGAGACATCTCCCCCGAGGAGGAGCTGTATCCTGGGGACCGTTTCCACGATGACCAGGCAGAGTGTGACGGTGACGGAGACGGCGAGGAGGAGATGATGGTGGAAGGGGACGGAGAGATGATGGGAGAAGGGGAGGAGGAAGGAGGGAAGTGGAAAGACTCGGGGATGACCTCCGAGGCACACGGAGCACTGGACAATGAGAAGGAGGAGAGCGACTCCTCGGCACAGGAGGGGGAGCAGCAGAACGGGAGCGAGAGGGACTTCGCCTGGATCTCCTAGAATCTGCCAGGCTCCTGTCAGCGGCTCATCAACCAATCTCTGAAGATCTCTTGCGATCTCTCGGGTAGATTCCTCTGCTCTCTTTACCCATTCGTCCCACTGTGGGCAGGCCTTCCTTTGAATGGAAATGCTGTAGGGTGATGCGCGACAATGATCTAAAACCATTACGAGTAACACACACACACACAGACACACACACGCACACACACACACACACACACTTAGGCTATTCTCAACCTTGACTGCCATAGTAGAAGAAGAGAGGTCGAGAGATGGCTAAGGTGCAAGGCTTTTTCTGCTTACCTCCTTTACTTCTGATGCAGTGCTTTTGTGTTTCTTTTTCTTGAGGGTTCAGGCCAGAGTCCAGTAGTTGTCTACTCTGTCACAACAGGAATCAACGAGGACGCTGCCAAGGACATGGCCAATGCAACTTTGTATGTTTGCCATCACAATCACCATGGAAACCAAGGATCACTGACAGTGTATGGAAAAAGCCAGGAGGATGAGGGTGTCTTGGTGCCACCTGGACTGTAATGTTTGTGGGGAAAGTGTCTCTCTACAAGGGAAAGGGAGAGTCTAAATCTATTGCAAAAGCTACGTGTGTCGGAGCGGGCAGCTCGACGGCACATTGTTGATGCAGAGTCCTACTGCCACAGACTTGCACTTTAACGACAACTGACTCCTATCAAAGCCCTGAACCCGTGGTTTACATTTTTGATCTGATCTTTACCTAAACAACTCGGTGACCGCACCTACCTTTAAGGATATACTTTATGTCCTCTTGACTGTTATATAGAAATCACTGAATCTTTGTGCAGATTGCTGTTTATATTGCCTATGCCTTTTCGATGGGGTCCTTAATCTTTTCTTTACTTAAGTTAACCACGCGGATTTGACTAATGTACATACGTTTTTGGGGGGATTTTAAAAGGGGAGTGTGTGTGAGACGGCAAGAGACGGAGAGAGTGTATGTCAGAGTTTATACACAACGTGGAGATCTGTTTCTGCTTCCCTGGTTGAAGATTCAACAATGATCCACAGGACCTACACTATTAACTCTTTCTGTGTCTCTCACTGTCTCTGGTTCTCTCAGTGGAGGTTGTGATGATAGGACCTGAGAACCATGTCTTTCACACTGAAGGAGGAGCTGCCTTTGTTCCAAAACGTTTGGTATCTTTTCTTTTGTCCTGTCATGTAATATCAGAATATGCAGTCTCCCTCCATGGTTCAACTTTCTTTTGGTTATATATTTTCTTCGGTTTTGTTTAAAAGAAAAGGATCAAATTGTGCTTGAAATGTCTGAGTCTGATAATCTTAGAGAGTGTAATATTAACTTGTTTGTTTTAACAGCTATTTATTGAAAACCTGTTTGTGGATTTCCAATTCTTGAGAAGTCTCTTGAGAGATATAGAGCGAGAGAGAAGCAGGATATAGAAGAGCCAGTCTGATAGCTCTAAGCTCGCTCGCGCTTACTCTCTCTCTCTCTCTCTTCTCTCTCTATATCGATCTCTCTCTCTCTCTCTCTCTCTCTCTCTCTCTCTCTCTCTCTCTCTCTCTCTCTCTCTCTCTCTCTCTGGGGTGGATCAGGATGGGTGTTTGTATGCAAGAATGCTTGAGTGTCCCAAAAAAAGTCTATATTGATTTATAAGATTATTTCCATGTTTATCTGCGATGTTATGACAATTCAAGTGAGGCAGGTGACATGTCTTATTATTATGATTATCAGAACAATGGTTACTGTTGTTGATGTTACTATTATTAATTATTATTAAGTGCTGGATGCTAAGCTTTATTGTGTGTTCTTTTTTTGATATTTTATATCTTGTATAAGAAAAAAGCTTTTATACTTTGCCTTGTTGTGGACAGCAAGCCATAAGGCTTTTATCAACCTTTTATTGTGCCAGTTTACGCTTTTTCTGTCGTATTTGCTTTTTTTTACCAAGGGTAAAAACAACTTCACTGTCAAACTTCTCTTTTAGATATTGATTGAAACATATATTCAGCACACGCTTTTGCATCACTTATGTACACTAATTGATAAATATCAAACCAAAAACAATCTAGTACCTTGTATACATGAAGTGCTTTCGTTTTACAGTCTGTATGTGCAGGTGCTTTTTTGGATTTTATTGTTGTGGTTAACAGTTTTGTTGTTGGGTTGTTTTTATTTTTTGAACCTGTCACTATTTGTCACAGTTTGAAAAAGTGCACATGTTATGGTATTATTGTGAATATGAAGAAGGGCTGTGTGAAAGTACCAGCCAGCTTTTGAAGATCGCATCTGAAAACCAAGCTGATTATTTTGTAGTTTCTACTGTCTCACGCCTTGCATGACACACAATCACGTAGAAACGCAGCATGTAGACAATGCTTCCTCTCAGACAGTGTTTCGTTTACATGCTGTGTTTCTATCTGCCATACAGGCGTAAATCTTAACAATAAAAGGGAAAGTGAGCGCTGCAGTAGTAACTCTGGGAAACCTTTTGTCGCCTGTCTGCTACAGGTGCCATGGACTGCACTTCCCAACAACCCCCACTTAGAAACTCTAAGTACAATTTGATTTGTGATGCTTTCTTCACATCTGGCTACCGTCTATATTTTGTTTGTATAATTTATTGTGTTTTTATTTCGACCCATTTTGTAAAAGATTTGGGTAGAAAAAAAAAAAAGAAGAAAGACAATGGGGTAGGATTTTAATGAATGTCAATGGTGGGTGTGGAAGGAGCCCATGATCGGCGACAAATCTCTGTCCTGTGGTTCTGTTTAGCCACTGAGAGACATCTGGATGTATGTGTGACTCCCCTACCCTGCGCTCTTCTCACGACCTGTACTGTATGTCTTCTTCCTCATACTGGGTTGTACTTCAGGAAAAAACGTCTGCCATCAACCCCTCAATATGTGCCTCAATGACATTTCACCCGTGTGCTTGTGAGAGTGTGTGTTTCCGAGAGATGTGTATGTGTATGTGTTTGTGTCGACGGATAGAGATTACTTAGATGCGACCGATCAGATTAGAGGTGCAAAATGTTTCAGAGGAAGACAAATCATGATGGGCGACTAGATTCTCCTTCCCACCATTTGTTGATGACCTTTTGTGCCCTGATTCTGTGGTCTTAACTGCATGCCTGTGCTCATTTTGTCATACCAAAGCGACGTCTTCGGCATCTGCACACAACTGTCTCATTCCACATGATGCAAAACTGGAACGGTTTGCTCTATTGCAGATGATTATGGGTATTCTTAGACGTGTACAAATTGCAATCCTCATTTAGCCTGTATAGCTTGATTCACACGTGCAAATCATGAAGCCATAGATATGGGTATATCTATATTATTCTATATTTCAAATTTGGCGCTTTTTACTTTAGATTTTGTTCTTCTACTAAGAGTGATGTGTGTATACCTTCATATATATGAATTTATATTACTATTATATATTATTTATTTTCTCTCAAGTTTCAGAGGGTCTTTGATTTGTAAAAGGTCACACTTGAAGCTTGAGGTTTGTTTATTTTCATTGGGAATATTGTTCAATATGATACTGACTTTATATTGATGATTATCATAAACCTGTGTTTGTAACAAAATGTGTTAAATAATCAAAAAAAAACCTGTCCTGTTTTTACACCTGTTTTGTTTTCGGGCAGATTTATGTGCTCTTGTGCAGATTTTTTTTTCCGGTTGATAGTACTGATCACAAAACATTTTTACAGCCAACCATGAGCCTCCTGTTTTGATGTTGGGGCGGGCCCAGCGGCCGTCCAAGCCTCTTTCTAACTTCATGTTTAGTGGAAGAATTAGCTTGACTATTATTTGCAAAAACCAATCAGTCTCAATAAATTTTGAAATTGCTGCTGTAAAGAAGTAACACGTGTGTGCCTTGTCTTTTGTTTGATGGGACAAATGTTGTCATAACCCCCTGCTGTCCACAAGGGGGCAGACAAGTCCAAGAAAGTAAACACAAAGGAATGCATCCTGACTGTTGATTTTACATGTCCTTCTTTGGAAGATACGTAATTATAAACATGCATTCAATATTATTCATCGGATTAAAATAGAATCTGACCGCAGACTTCTTCCATTCAGGTTTATTTTTCTTTCTGTCACATTACATCACATAGATCACATTATTAGCATCATACATGGTCATCCATCTTTTCAAGCACTAGTCATAGGCTTGACATTCACACAAATACTCCTTGAGTGCACCACAGAAAATGCTTCCTCCATGTGCGTGGGACTGCTGATGAAGAAGAGAGGCCGAGCCCACACACAGGAGAAACGTTGCCCTCCAGTAAGACCCGAGGCTGATGTGACGTTTCCTTTAAAACAAATGCTTTTAGCTTTGTGTGTCTTTGTCAAGCGGCAATGAGTATTTTTGATATTTTGAGGAGAACAAAGTACATCAGCCTTGGGTGATCAGTTACTGGAAGGGGAAATCTAACATATAAAACACTTCAGTGTTGTATCTCCGAACAAAAAACAAAAAAAAGAGCGATGATAGACATGCAAAAAAAACTCTAATTTAACCAGACAATCAATCAATCAATGAGAAAACAAAAACAAGCAGGAGTCAGTTTTCACACCAGCCAGTGTAAGGCTCAGTAAAAACACAAGAGAAAAAAAAAGGTCATCAAATGTCTGACGAATAAAGGAGTAAAATGCCTGGACGAATAATAAAAGCGCAGAGGAAGCAGAGAATTGGGAGGAGCTGCCATTGCAATGCATTACATTACATTTGATTTGGAAGGAGATCTATTGGCTTTGCTGCTGCTGCTGGTTTTCACACAGATAAACACATTGACATTCAAGAAAGCAGCACATCAATTTCAACATGTGGAAGTAAAAATAAAGGCTTTTTTTTATGCACATTTGAAGGGTTTAATTTAGCTTAATAAACTGGGTAAAGGCTTGGGTGGGACCACTGTAAAGCTTGATAGGACAACAGGTAATGCAAAAGGACGAGGTGAGAAGAATCACTGTAGTGAGGAGGAAGGATACGTCTGTTAGGAAACAAGGGGAAGACTCTAAAAGTGTGCTGTCAGTTGGAATGTGCAGGACAGGAGAGATTTACCCACAAAATTAAAATGTTCATTGTGACCAAAAGGTCGAATGTTATCCTGCCTAACAACAACTAAACGTCACAACCACACACAACATTCACAATGATGAGAAACACGTTAAGAAAATGACCATTTGGCAGGGAGAAAGACATTTGACAAATAGCAACAGTGTAAGCAAGTAGCCCAGATGTCACGAAACTGAAGTTAGTTCTTGTTCCCCTATAAAGCATCTCATTGCACAAAGTAAAATTGTAAAGCAATACTGCATGGTTGCGTTATATGATATGATTTAGCAGTGTGGCGACAGCTGTGGGTGTTAAAAGAAGGTTTACTACAGGGAGTACAAACTAGCGAGCAACTATAACAACAAAAAAAGACTTGTTTTTGTGGGTTTTACATTCAACAGGTTTTTTTTCTCCCCTTTGCCTCAAAGCTACAATATACATTGAATCTTTTACGTATTATGTTCACTATAGCTTCTCAATCAAATATTCTGAGCAACTATAATGTAAAAAAAGTGTACTTTTCATAAAACAAGATAACAAGGAAACAACAATATATGGAAAAGCCTCACACTTCTCTTTATGTTGCATATGTACAAGAAAGCCCTGAAACTGCAAATCCATCCATATCGTCACTGCGTGTCCCGTGTCTGCTCTCCATCAACTTTCCCTGCACAGTCAACTTCAGTTTCTACTCTCATTTCACAGGCGCAACATTCCTCATCAATTTCCACAAGAGCAACTTTGTACCCGCAGTTTTCTTCTGGCCCTGCTGACACAAGCCAAGCTCCAACTGTCTTGTTCATCACAGGCCAGTTTTAGTGCAAAGAAAAAACTACAATTACCACCTCACAATGTCATGCCTCCACCAACTAGTCAAGTTGCAGTTTACATCCATGTCCGTCCAGACTCATACAGTATATGTGGACTTTGAGGGGGTTTAACAAAAAGTGTTGTGTGGATTTTGTCAGAATTAAAGTATGGGTTATGGCCAAAAACCTGTCTTGTCACAGTGATCTTTGACCACCAAAATCTACTCACTTCATCCTAGAGTCTAAATGGACGTTTGTGCTAAATGAAAAGAAGTTCCCTCAAGGTGATGATGATCCACCAGAAATAGACTGGTGAAGGTGAAATAGTGAGCACCACAGGAGCCTGTTAACATATCAAAACATCGGCCTGTAATCCTGCTGGTGAAATCTAAAAGTGCTTTAGATGGAGAGACACCTGATTGAATGTGACACTCCATCAACAAACAGCAGTAACAGCTGTCTCCAGCAGTAATAACTGCAGCAACTACCTCAGCTCAGGGAATTGTAAATAAGAAAGGAAGCATAAATGTTACGGATAAAAAGTGTGAGTATTGTGAAACAAAACTCCAGGCAATGAAGCAGTGTAAAAGCATCTGTTATCTAGACATCAATGTGTAGCCGCTGACTAAGACCGGTGTTTTCCAATCAGGAGACAAGGCAGGTGCTGCTTTCAGCCCTTGGCACTCCTCCAAGGAAAGGCAGAGTGACTAACTACCCAAGTACCACGCTGTACTTCCCAGTACCACACTTCACAAACAGCCAGTGTGTTTAGTACAATAAATCTGACACAGAGAGCAAGACAATAACTGTGACTTAATGTAAAGTTTACTTGCTAGTAATGGGGGACCCTAGAGGTACAAAACACCCTTTCCCTGACACCCCATTTATTCCATCGGGCAGTGACGACATCCCTCCCGCCCCCTTGAAAATAAAAAAGGAAAATTCTTTCACTTCAAAATGTGTGTATATAAAATGTCCATGTATAAAAACATGTTTTTGCGCAATTTCATAGTGCAATTTCATCAGGTAAGTATAGCTTTTTCCTTTTTTCATGTTCTTTTCATTGGCACTTTGTGAAGTTTCTGACCAGAAGAGGAGGAAGATTATCTGGGATGCCACTGGAGATCAAGATTTACAGGCAGGCATCGTTCGTAACCAAACAAAATGGTGGGTTATTACTGGAACTGATGAGATATCATTAACTACTATGATCGTTTTCAAGTGTGCTTAATTGATTTGACTTGAAGCTACTAATTAACAGGCATCTGCTTTTGAGCTTTTATGAGAAGTGATAACTGTTCTCCTTTAATGTGGCATCAGCACACAGCTGAGTGACCTTGTGGCGACAGGGGGAAAGCACAGTTGTTTCTATGGCGACAGAGGTCTGAAGTCGTCATGCACCTCAGTCCAAGCTTGTATAGGAGAGGACACTGTGTGTGACGCAGACTCTACATTCAAACAGCACAACGTCAATCTTCAAAAATATACATTTACTGTCGTGATTCTGAGAGCAGGTCAGAACATTTGCTGGTAAGGGGTTTCCCTTTATCCAAGTAGAGGGGCTAAGTGCCTAAAGATAGAAAGTGTCTCATGTTGTACAGATTGTGAAGCCCTTGGAGACAGATGTGTGGTTTGTTTGGTTTAAATAAATACATTGACTTGCCTGTTTTTTGGGAAGTAGGTTATCATCTTGACAAGATCAGTATTGTCTTTAAATCAAAATCATTTAAATTAAAAATAACGTAACTAACGATTGGAAAGAATAAAAAAGTTGATCTCTCTATATGGTATGCTATAATTATTTCAAAAATGTCCTTAAGTATGACTACTGGTTTGTAGTTATGTATTTTACTTTCATTAGTATTAGCACCAGTAGGAGATCAATCCTAAATGTCCTATCCATGCCATATAATGACAATTACAAACACAAGTCACCCTGCAGGTGTTCAGTTTTAAGCTGGAAGCCTTCAAAGAATAACTAGTTGATTAAATTGACTTCAAATAAAGATCTAAGCTTCTGGAAGAATTACATGCTTGGAAGGTTTCATTGTTTTATATTTTCATTGTAAACACAATATAGGTTTTTAAATTAAAGGGTGATATTTTCAAAGATTAATCAATATTGCTCTATTCTTTATTTTTTAAATACAGGTGAAAGGGATATATCAAAAAATTACAATTTCTTACGATATAAAAATGTTACCACATGATATGTAATCTTAAATTTGGAAGGCTTTTAAATAGAGAGCGCTTGTCATTCAATAATTTGATATTACAGATCTATTCTAGAAAAATCTTTACTTTCACTCTGATTAAACATTTGTTTTACTCCACTATCAATCAGTCGACCACCTTCACCCTGGTTTGATTCTCACTTTTCATTCCCAAATGTTAGACCAGAACAAAAACTCATTCTAAACGGTTGAAAACATTTACTTAAAAAAAAAAATAGGAAATAGTCTTGGTTCCTATGAAGTTTGGCATCTAGAAATGTTGCAACGCTGGTTAGTGATCATTATTCTGAAGACTAAAGCACTAAAAACATCTCCTTCTTAAAATGTTTAGAGATTATTTCAAATTACTGACTTATCAGCGGGCTGTTGGGTTAAAATCTCTACATACAAAAGTTACATTAGTCAGTCAAGTTACGTTAGTTACGTTTCAAAGGGCAATAATTAATTGGGGTAAACGATCTCTTTAGACTAACTGGTTGTCAAAGGTTAAAAAACTGAGCCTTTCTGCCTCACCTTAATAACAACCACAAAGCAAGACAATATTAAATGCTGTAATTCTGCCGATTGCACAGTGCAACTGCTAGTTGCTTCAGCTAAACATTGCTGAAAAATAAACTCTATACAACACATCCACTTTCAGGCAGACACTGACATTTCAGTGATCCTCTAAAATATGTCTTATTTCTTCAAGGTGCATATAAGAACAAATAAGAAGAACTATCTAATATATTGTGTTCACCTCCAAAAAATAGTTTGCTAGGCCAAGGGGAATCTTTTTGTACCACAAATATGTGCATTGTTGCAAAATCACATGAAGTAAAGCTGGCTGTACTGAAGTTGCTTAAGGAACTAGGAAGTCGATGATGAACAATTTGTACTTCTTAAACATAACGTTGCTATCCAGTAAGGCTGCAGAAGACAGTGATGCTAGATTCAGGATTAGGCTTACATTTAAACTGTTGGTTGTATGTGAACAGGCGTTCTGCCTTTGGTAGGTGTGAAGTCCCTTACACAGTGACAAAGAAAAAGGATCTGCTACAGAGCGAGTACATCTGACCCTTGACCCTCCAAAAAGTCATGATCCACACCATCAACAGTAGACTACAGGATGCTCATATAATCACCCACAGAGTATAACAAAAAGCTTATCTGTAGTCTTTAAACATTGCCTGGAGTTGAGGCTGTGAGAAATGAGAACAAATATCAGGAGATTCCAATTTAAATGTTTTCCTTATTGATGAAAATGTTTCAGTCTTCAAAAAGTCTCAAAAGTTATTTTTTCTTGCTGATTTGCTTTGTTTGTTTTTACCCACCAATTTTATTTTCTCTTTGTGGTTGCAAACAGGGAAGAGAGAGAAGGCGAACGCCCTGCTGGGCTGGAGGAGTAGAGCGCTTTATCGTGGAGAAACTCCCCCTCTTCTCCTCAGTGGAAGAGTCCGTCTACAGCTGTCGCTCCGCGCGAGGAAGAACTCATCTCACAGACACGGGAAGGGGACTGGATTAGTCGGTGAATCTCTGACAGGCTTTTTTCCAGCGACAGGCTGTGCACCACATGTCTCTCTTCTCCATGCCGTACACCTTTCGGCACTTCTTTGCTTCCCCACGGGGTTTCCTAGGTAACAGCAGATGTGATAGCATAAGGACATGAACACAGACGCCCACACAGGCATAAAAACACAAACACATACATGTGTGCATGTAGGGGTGGGGGCAGACCCACATTAAAAACACAAGTCTTTCTTTGTAAACGTCATTTAGCAAATATAAAAACTATTCAATACAGGGAGGCCATCTTTCAAAAAGGGGGATTATTTAAAGGAACTGTGATATAAGAACAAAAGAAGATAATAGAAAAATAACAATTAAGATAAAATGTTTTATGTTTTAACCCAAATGTTTTGATTGTACAATTAATCCTAATGCAATTACACAGACCAATGGCGGCTGAATACCTGGTTCCGAGTGCTGATTTAGGTGCAGGCGTTATTAAAGCATGGTTCTTGATGACAGTGTTGTGTGTGACGGCTGCCGGCTGACGCTTCTCTCCGATGCTGACGGTCCGGACTTGGATCACAGGCCCCTGAGAAGCAGAAAGACATCATAAGTGATTTTTAGAACGTTATACTAATACAGTGTGGCTTACTTGTTGTAATGTCAAGTGATATATATACAACACAACCTTAATTCTCTCCCAGTCAAAATGAAAAACACATCCACAATAAAGTCCTTACACCTCGACACATAGTATGCTGCCAAAGCCAAAGATCGGCTGTCCATTTGAAGAAGTCTGGTAACCATTTAAAAGCGTCAAACACAAGGTATAGATTTGTAGTCCTGCGTGTTCAAATCGCTACAGAGACAAAAACATGATTTATTAGAGAAGCCAATTAATCGATTGACACTGTGATAGGCACAGAGCGATAAGACCATGCTTCACACACTCTGATTTATCACCGTCACCCAACCCTTTTGCGCTACTGCACATACATGCATCAAATTAGCAGGTGTGCTTGGTGACGCCCACACAAACTGTGCACCAAAGATTTATCACAAGATTTAAAACCCGGGCCCAAAGGGTTAACAGCACAGAGAAAGTCTAAGTGACAGTTAGGAGTAAATTAAGAATCAACATCATTTGTCTTCTCGGTCTCCCTGCAGCTTTAAATACTGTTGAACATTTTATTCTCTACGACAGACCTTGGATGACATTCACTGTTGCCATCCCTACAGTACCTTAAGACAGAATATTCTTTATTGCATCTGATTAACACGAGCCACCATATGGCCTTGGGGAGCACGGCTGTACTGTTAAACTTCTGAAAGCGCTCTATAACAGGAGACAGGCAACAGTTATTACACATTCCTGGATGACACACACTTTTGCATTGCACTAGCTCCTGATAACACAGACTGCATTATTATTGGGATTTTAAAAGTGTTATTCTTCTACAACACAACCAAGACAGAGTAACTAGTTAATGGAGAGTGTTGAATACATTTTGTAGGAGTCATTCTGCCCTATACTTTCAATTAAATGCCTATATGAGGTTGTTCCGAGTCAAATAAAACCAGTGCTGCTGCTCACGCTGCTAAATCCAGTGTTGAAAGATGAATCTGCACCATCATCATTAACTGGCTGCACTATCCTGATGCAATCCATTCTGCTCTGCCTAGGAAAGCCACAGTTCAAAATCAATTCATATAAAATTAATCAGATCATTCTTTAACTAGGACCATAAGAGCTCACATTGCATATGTTTTTGTAGTGGTTTCCTGACTTTTATTGTTTTTTAAATCTTTAAAACAGTTCTGGGTCTGATATGCGTCTAAGATACAAAATGTTCCCCCTCGATCCCTCAGGTCCTCTGACTGTCTGCTGGCTGTCCTGTGAGCGCAGACTGATTCATGACCACGCTGCTTCAGCCATTTTGGCCCCAGCCTTTGGAACAGACTACTTGAGGCCATGATGATGTTAGGGTTACCTTAACTGTTGTTGTAGTTTGATTGCTTTTATTCCTAAACTTTACTTCATCTTTTATTTCCATTTATTGAGGAGGCACATAGAAAAGAACGTTGGCAATGTTTATAGTAACACCTGCTTACGCTGCTATGGACAATCTGGCAATAATGCACATGCTATGGACAATCTTGCACGAATATTTTGTACATTCTATGTACAATTTTGCACTAATGTACACTCTCAAATATTGAAGTGACTGTTATTTTGTATATATTGATTGTTGTGTTTTTATTTAGGTCTTAATGTGTGAAATGTGTCTTTGATTCTGTGTATATACATATTTGCACACATCATTTAATATACATTTATTTTTATATTCGGGATTGTGGGAAACGGTTTCTCGATCTCTCCGTCTGTACACACAAACTGGGACAATAAAGTTGACTTTGACTTTGCATGCACATCTGGTTTAATGTATTGTTCTCTGGATTTTACGTCAAGCCCTCGTTGATTGTACTATATAAACTATATAAACCCATCAGAGACTGCACTGACCTCACCACCTTCAAGAAAATTACAAAAACTCACCTCTTCAATCTGGCTTTTAATGTGTGATTGTTTTTGTATTATTTGACTTTAACTATATATATTTATTTGTTGTTCTTTTCTTTTCACTATATCTGTAAAGCGTCTTTGAGCGCCTGTAAAAGCGCTAACAAAATAAATCTATTATTATTATTATTATTATTATTATTTATTATAAATGAAAAGACAGATGTTGTATATAATAAGATGGTATAAAGGATAAGGGAAAGTTAAAAAAGATAGCTACAAAAATTGGTAACAAGTGGAAACGGCACTTAGATTAGGATCAAAAGGCGTGAGACAAAGCCGGGACGCCTTTGAAAAGGACATGAGGGGATTGCCATGACACACTGATGCCGTTCCCAGTCCCATGTCCAGGCCCGGTGCCATTACCATTGCCTAACCCAGCCAGCTCAGGACCCACTGGGATTCTCACTGGAGCAGTGGCCTGGAACATGGACAAAAAATCCAAAAATAACCTTCTGTAAATATTTGGTGAAAGCACAAGCCTACAACCCACCATCGTGGTAAAGGACCTGAGATATTTGGTCAAAAGATGTTCGTATTTGATTTTTCTACATTTTCTCCACGTTGCCCAGCCCTAACTGACGGGCAGATTATGAATGAGACACACAACTGTTTTAAGACCGCTTGAAGAATAGCAGAACATCTAGTTAGCGGTAGAGAAGAGTATAAGGACAGTGCATGACCAGGAGCTAGTGTAGTTTCCGTGCTGCATATATCATCTGAAACTCTATTTTCATGTGCATTTTAAGTTGTCATGGCAACTGAAAGTTTCATACAGCCTTGAACCATTGGGAAGGACTGAATTCAATATTCAATATAGAACGATGCTTATGCTTTAACCAAATGTGTTTCTCCACCTGAAACCATTTCATTTTTACCTTCAAGGGCATCCGAGTGAGGAGTGCACATGCATTTGTACGGATAGAGGAAGAAAAGAAGAGGAAGGACGAGGAGAAGAAGAGAGAGGAGGCATGAATACCTAAAATGCTACAAAGCAGTTCAAACTAAATGCGCCGAGCAGGAATGCAAACATGATTTATTCTCTTTTCCTACTTTAAAATATTGATAATTTGTGTGAATTTGTATTAATATTTGCAAGAAAATCTTTTTTTCCATTTCTCTCCCCCACAGTGGTGTGGGAGTCAAGGATCATACTCTGACCCCGGAGCTTATTTCATACATTCATCTCAAAAGCTGCCCCTGCAGATTCTGTACCATAGAAACCTAACACTTTGTGGCTTTGTATAATACCAACTAGGGCGATTATTTATTATGTTTAACTCTTTAGAGTACGATTCGTAGGCTTGGACCTCTCTGTAACACCCCTTCACTTACAATTGTATTTTAACACATAATTAGCTTTTCAAAATGATTGTGCCCCCTGTGATTTTGAATGTTGCACTAGTCCATGTTGCTATTTTTGATAAACTACCAACTGCTTAATGTTTTCAGGGTCATTGCATTAGAAATCAGATTTAGAAATGTGTGTATAAGGTGTGTGTTGTGTGAAATACCTGGTAGGCGTGGTCAGTGCGGATGTGGCAGAGGGTGGAGGGTGCTGATTGGCTGAGCAGCGTCGGGGTCGGGCTGTGAGAACTGTTCATGTTGATGCGTTCGGAGTGAGGGACAGCAGTGAGCGGTGGAGGGAAGATGGGCGGGGGGCCGCAGGTGGTGGGGGAGGTGGGGGTGAGGCTGGACAAGCCCTCCGTCAGGCTGTCCATGTTGATCTCGATCTCTGAGTAGTAAAAGTCCTCCTCTCCATCGCTGTAGTCCGAGTCGGTGTTTCGCCTGCAGGAGAGGAGCAGCTTAGAAACTCTGAAGGATATCTTAACTCCATTTTAAATACATTTTCAGCTTTGAAGATAAGTGCTTTACTCCCACAGCAGCGTTAAGATGCACAGCTGAAACACTTATCTTACTCATTATTTTTGCAGGCCACTAATCTTCTCTTATCTGCAACCATGTAGTAGTTGGCGCAGCTCTATCATCTAAAATTGACATTTCTTTGAGGAGCATTGACCTAATGACTAATACCTCCACTGGTTTATGTTAAGTATGCCTCATATGTTCATGCTGTTAGACACGTCTATGGAAATGAAACAGAAAACATTTCAGTGCACGAAAGGATATTGTTTCTTTTGGGGTTTTTTTATAATTTCAATTGTATAATATTTATTTGTGGTTTCCCTTTATCTTGCTTTAACTATTAAGTATCATTTTGAAGCAAAGACACAGGCAAATTCAGCCGTTTTTTTGCACACATGTTTTTTTATTTTAAGTTAAAAAAATAAATGTGATCTCAAAGCACAAAAGGTCCATTTAAAACATAGTGACTTCTGATTGTAGTAGCCATTAAAGATGACAATAACTTTAGCAGTGATCTTCAATTTGACTGAACTACCTGTGACCTAAGCACAGCTGTCACTTATAGACGTGCAGAAAGTGGTATCACTTCCCAGCAGCAGGGGGCAGTAAGAGCCAGTGTGCTGCACGGCTGCTCAAATAAACAAGCTGGTGATGAAATGACAATAACTGTGAGGACAGTTTCTTTTGAGGATCTTCAAAAAACTAATGTATAATGTTATAATATCTCACATGTACCTGAAGCAGTGTGTAATAACAGTGCACTGGATAGCTTCAATAAACCACACACATTTATAATTATATTTGTTTCAGTATTACAAAACAAAAGACATCGGTTTCTTTATATTTAGCTCTAAGCTGTACTACACAATCAAGTCGTATGTAAAGACAGTTAAGTGGCATCCACGCTGTGAGTAGTCATATATCCTTTTCTTGTATTACTACATTATTTAAATCACAGAGTTTAACATTTCTACCCACGAGCGGCCATGCCTCACTGACACCTACACAGTGAAAGTCTTTATCAAAGTGAAAAAAAGCCTGCAGTTGTGAATAAAAAAAACATGAATACAAATAAAAACAAACTTTTGAATACTGCTGGTTCCACTATAAAGATAATCCATGTGACTCATACATATCATCATATTGCCTGTCGGTGGTGTGTGGATGTGTGGGTGAGTGTGTAATGGTTTAGCTAAGACAAAAGATGTGGCTGAATGCATAATACACAATACTAGGCAGCTTGTAATACTTTATGGAGAACCAAAACACTATGAGCTAAGGCGGTGAACTTTAAATACTGTGAAAATGATTGACAGCTTTATATTTATCAGAATACCTTAATTAGTCTTAGGTTTATACTGTCAAGAATCCTACCTGGATTCATTAACTAAGCACTACATGAGTTCAGTTTTGAAACTCACCCCAGGTGGACGGTGCGAACGTGTCGCTGGATCCCTGAGGAGGTGCTGAGGACCTTTTCACAGTTCTTCCACAAGCACTTGAACATCACCTTCATGGAGTTCTGAAAGAGATGTTCCCCACATGAGTGTCAACATAAAAAACACATATATGTCATTACATCTTTCCCTGTGTGAATATTTGCATTGCCGCTTTTTGTTAAATACCAATCATGTGGAATATATATATATATACATGCCGTTAATAACTGTGCAATATATACCTGGCTGCTATATCTCAGAACTGTTACAGGATGTATATTTTGTAAATCGTGTAATTTTTCTTCTTAATTTTTTATCTTTATTATTTTTTTAATGCATGCTTCTTAGGTAATATTAAGCCGTCTCTTTTCTTGCTGTAACAAATGCAAATGTCCCCTCCGTGGGACGAGTAAAGGTATTCTGATTCTGAACCAAAGGCTTGAAATATCCGCTGTCAGACAAGGTAGAAACGGTGATGAAATTGAACATATTCTCAGCAGAACACTGATTATGGGAAATCGAGGTTTATGCGGTGTGCCGTGTAATGTCACGTTCCTGTGTGTGGATCTCATAAGCAGCCTCACTACAAAGGCCTTCGTGGGAGATTGATGCCACGCTACAAGGGGCCAAACACTACACCTCATTTGAGAGCTATTAGAGCAGCAAGTCTATCAAAATAGAAATCTGATATGTGACAAGTTCAGGCACATAGAGAGTAAAAGAGAAAGATATCGGAGAAAACAGGGACAGGCAAACAGGACAGACAGTTACCTGCTAATACATGCATGTCCCCGACTGATCGATGAGTGGACTAAATGCACTCTTTAGATTTTAACTCCTCCTACTCTCTGTTCATGTTGTGAGCTCGGTTGGAGATGATAACATAAATAGTTTGGTGTGAGGGTGCAGCCTGGGGGGTGCCCCTAAAGTTTAAAACAACATTCAAGGCCTCTCAAAAACTAAATATAACCACAAGTACACCGCCATCTCCCTATAGACATAGACACCTGTGACAACCACAATAACTTTTTTCTGAGCTCATCGTCAAATGTACCGTTTGTAAATGCTTATCACATTTGATCCTGCTTTTACACAAACAAAGGATAACTCTCCTTTGTTCATAAGCAAGCCATGAGGAGATATATAGATGGATTTGTTTTCAATTCATTTTCCCTTTTGCCTATCAGGGGCTGGCAGCTGTCCGATGAGCAGGCAGGGACCTGCATCTCTTCTAATGAAAAACAGTGGGTGTGTACTGTCATTCCCTTTCAGCAGCCTCTGGCAGTAGGAGGGCAGAAAAGGGAGGGAGGAAAACTGAGTAGAACAGGTTTTTTTATCAATGGCTATGTAAACTCTGCTACACTGCTCTGTCTTTGAACTGTTCCTCAACGCCTGCCACTCCCTTTCTTATTTAACAGCAACATGCAAATACACTTCTCAAGTGGGGCTTGGCTAAATTCACGTCCCCTGATGGTGTTTTAGGTGCTGTTTACACGAGAACGCAAACGGTTGTATCCGCTACTTTTCTCTTTCATATAGCCCGTTTGTTAACACGAGGCCGTAACGGAAATGCGGAAACGGACCCCGCAAACGATAACGGGTCCCAAGGTGGATAGATCTGCAAACGGAACGCTCTGGGGGGTCAAACGGCTCAGTGTGTCATTTCCTGATAACGATGAAGCCATAGCCCCGCCTCTGCTGCTCACTGGTGTACACTACACTACAGATGTTAGTGCAAAATCTACAGCTCCTCTACCACAACCATCAGCAACAAGTGGACATGGAGAATTACATGAACTACATGTTGCTAAATCCACCGCGGGGCATAAACAGAAGGGTAGCCATGGCAACCATGCTCGGGGGTCTTCTTCGCTGCTTTTGGTGTATTTTGTGGCGAAAGTACAGCGCCACTTACAGGCCCGGCATATGTACTACAGCATCTCCAGCGCTTTCGAGCGGTCTAGTGTGAACGAAATACTTTTTTGATATCGTCTTCGGTTCGTTTTGTTTGCGTTTACGTGTAAATGAGGTCTTAAACAACCCCACTAATACAAATGACACAGCAAAGCAAGCCTTTAATCCCACAAACAATCCCAAATCACTTAATTCCCTGAGCATTTTCCTTGCATCTTAACACAGTTACAGTACGACTGGTGACTGTGATGTTTAATAATCCTCTTAACCCAGTGCCTGCTCAAAATCAAACAGCATCCAACTGAAGGGGCCGCCGCTCACAGAAGGCTTAGACCTCTAGGGTTGCTGTCGTCAGCTATATTGCGGCACTAAGCTAGCCGGCCGCTGAGCTCATAGTTTAGCTCTCTTCCGAACAACTTGTGTGTCTATATTCCTCCAGGCCCGGGTCATCCCACTTCATTTCCTGTCAGCTTATCTATGGTATGGCATGGGTCACTGGCAGCATGGTACTTGGAGTCTTTATGGTTTTGATATATTCAGCAGCTCAATAATCTTTACTGCTCCACTCCAGGGAGAGGGAATTGAAAGCTCCCGCATATTGTACAGTATATGAGCTCTTCTCGTGGCTGTATGGCTAGAGGAAATTCATCTCGAGGATTCCTTTTTTCCTCTTGCTGCTACCATGAATATTGCCTTAAACCTCATTTGTAAGCACCCTTTCAAGCTTTTGCTACTTGCTGCTGTGCAACCAACCCTCTCCTTAATTCTTACTAACCTTTCTTCCTGTGCTCTGTGAGAAGAATGAAAAGAGGACAATTTCTAAAGTTACAAAATTAAGAATTAACCTTTTGATCCACACATGCATAAAGGAACTGATGCTGTTAAACTTCATGGTGCTACCATGGTTTGAATGCTTCTACTGGGCTACTACTACTAAAGAAATATGAAAGCACATCAGAGTTGTGTCTGTAAAGCTGTGGCCATGAAGTATTACTCAGCATGTGCTTTATTTTTTGGTTTAAGATTAAAGTTGAACAGACAGCATCTGGGGCTGCCGTCATAACCACAGATGTGACAAACCGTATTAACTGTGGATTTCAACTTGAGTTTAACTTACTTATTTCATAATATATAGTCAGTTTTATTAGATGTGTGATAAATTATATCTGATAAATTAGCAGATGTGTTTCTAATCCAATATCTTTGTTGTGCTTAGTAATCAAACCCTTTCCTGAACATGTCCCTTTCCTGAACATGTCCCTTTCATGTCCCTTTCCTGAACATGTCCCTTTGATTTCCCAAGCTGTTCAGGAGCCATAGTAATTATTTAGCCAAAGTGAATTTGCATCAGTGCTTTATAAATTAAGTGCCATACATATCGAGTCATATATAAATGCTACATGAAGATTCATTTTTACCTTTCGCTTGCGAGGTATTGGGTCCTCAAACATGAAGTGTGAGCTCTCTGGGACATCTTCATTAACATCATCCCCTGGGGTCAAGAGAGGGAAGTTCTTGTTGGTATCATTGGAAAGAGGCGGGGACGGTGTGGAGGGCACTGATTGGTCGCTGGTGTCCCAGCTCCAGTTGCCACTTGTGGAACTGCTGTAGCTATTTGACAGCACGTCTTTCCAAGCCCTGCTGCCTGGCTCTGGGACTGCAGGTCAAAGAATGCAAACGGTTAACATATTTATTATATATACAAAGAAGATCATATGTGAACATTATGGTAAGTGCACACTACTTTTAAAGACCTGAAATAAAAGTATAGCAACATAATGATTGGACAGTATGCCTCACAATCCTGACCTGGATCCTAACTGTAATGGAAATGAAAATGTAAAAGCTCACAAAAGCCATAAACCATGAAAGCCTATTTGATGCATATATCCTAATATGTTATATAAAGTTGACGTGGTTCGGGCACCTAGTAAGGATGCCACCTGGGAGGTGTTCCAGGCACGTCCAGCAGGGAAGAGACCAAGGGGTAGACCTAGGACCAGGTGGAGGGATTATATCTCTTCGCTGGCCTGGGAGCGCCTTGGGATCCCCCAGTCAGAGCTGGTTGATGTGGCCAGGGAAAGGAAAGTTTGGGGCTCTCTGCTGGAACTGCTACCTCCGCGACCCGACCACGGATAAGCGGGAGAAGATGGATGGACATTTTTCATTTATCTATTCTCATCTTTGCACATTAAGCCCAACACAGCTTTCATTTCCTTGACAAGGTAGCATATTATCTCGCTAAGTCTTGGCCCACTAACCCTTCCTATACCCATTGGCCTTTTGACCTAAAATACTAGATAATCGCACCGGCTTGAGTGGACATTAATGGGGCAAAACATGGGAAGGCAAAACCTAAACCCCAACATAGAAAAAAAACCTAAAATCTTGTATGTAGGGGATTAATATATACGAACCAATCATGTTTTCCTATAGGAATATAAGGATCTGAATCCCTGTTAATGTGTTGCATAGATCAATTTGTGTATGAGGATTACGGTTCCCAGAATGTACTACTGTAAAGCTTTAAGAGAAACAAATAATATCATTTTACCTCCTACCAGTGTACCATAGAAAAAAAAGACATTTAATCTAAAAAAAGAAAAAAACTCATTTTGATGTGGCATTTACCAAAACACATAACTTGCATTCATGCACCAACATTCTCACAAGGTTTGACAACATCTCACAGCATTTGATTTATTTTAGCCGGCCCATGATTTAACTGGGCTGATTTATTTTGACAATTAATACAGAACTGATTTATCAATACAGAAGTGTCCGATGGATGATGGCATATGAACTGCTACATGTTGCCTTACTCAATAACAGTAGCCTTTGTTTTATGCTGGCAAAAAAAAAAGGCAGATAGGACTTTGACCGTCTGCGGTGATAAGGTCATGTCTGAACAGTTGGCAGCAAGTGCGCTAGGCTTGGGTAACATGAATGTATACAAAGATAAGATAATAGAGCTCATGATACTGTAAGAGTCCCTTTTATTAGATGACAAATGATAAATGACTCAGCTGATCAGTCTCATTAGCATAACAAACATCAGCTGATTGATGATGAGATTTTGTTCCCACTGTCCCTCCGCTTCACAGTAACTCCTCTGCATAATGAAAGGTGACATTCATTTGTTTCATACAGTGGATGAGTCAGGCCTAGGCTCCACGGGAACGAAAACTGGTTGAATCCGCATATTTCTCATGCGTATAGCCCTTTAAGCTTAACGACGCCGTAACGGAAGAAACCGACCCTGCAAACAGACCCTGCAAACGACAACGGGTCCAAAGGTGGATAGATCTGGGAACGGAGCGCTCTGGGGGGTCCAACGGGGCCGTGTGGTCGCCTATACGGTCATCCGTTTCTGATAATGACGACGCAATAGCCCCGCCTCTCCCCACCTCTGCTGCTCACCCCCGCAAAAGTACACTGCACACTGAATTCAGATTATTTATCTTTATCTCGATATGGACATAAACGCGAGTGAAGTCTAATCTGACAGGACGGAGACACGCAGCTCCTCCGGCTGTGAAGCAGCGGGAGCAAAACACACACTTCAAGTCAGATCATCACCCTTAGCTATTTTAATTACCTCTCAAACTACCTAAACTAGTTATAAATATGTTTATTTTTACTGTCGGGTTTACTTACTGGATCAGCTGCTGCATGAGGAAGCATGAAGATTTAAACTTTAACACACGTTGACCGGCGAAAAACTCTGCGCGGTTCCCTCGGCCCCCACCGCGGAGAATAAACAGAAGTGCAGCCATGACAACCATTCTTCTTCGCTGCTTTTGTGGAGGAAGTTGCTGCTTTTTGTGGAGGAAGTTACAGCGCCACGTACAGGTTCGGCATATGTACTGCAGCTTTTGGAGCAGGTTGGATGTAAACGGAGCCGTCTCGTGGAGCTTGACACAATCCGGTGTATATTGCGTGTGGGCGGAAGCTTTTTTGCGGTTGCGTTTGCGTTACTCCGATGCGTTTTGCCGTATGCGTTCCCGTGGAGCCGGGGCCTCAGTGTTTGATGGAGCAGTTTCCATTGCAGGTATATTTTAAGGGCAGAATGCAGCAGAGGCTGTGATGTTACCTGGTGGAGCAGAGGAAGGGTTGAGCACCAGCGGAGATGTGGACAGTGAGGTCAGGACGGTGGCAGCCATCACTTCCTTATCAGCATGACCTGAGGGCTTCCTGCAAAACACACACATGTAGAAAAGGAAAGTCAACACCACTGCTCTTGTCTTAATATGTTTGAACAAACACAATTTCAGCAAAACACTTTAAAACAGTTTGTTGTTTTTCCTGAGTAATGGAAAGTTATTTCAGAAGAAAAAGCCTGGACTGGTCCCCAGAGAAATCTATAAATCTCTGTAGACCCCCAAAATATCACCACTAAGAAATTCTTAAAGCAGTGAATAAAGTGTTTGAGTATGAGCATGTGTGTGTGTGTGTGTTTGTGTGTGTGTGTGTGTTTGAGTATGAGCATGTGTGTGTGTGTGTGTGCACATGAAGATGTAACGGAAAGCCCTGAGAGTGAACAGGTTTTGTGGTGTGTTTCTGCACAGCTTGTGCAACCTCGCTTAGAGAGACTGAGAGTACACCCCATGCTGAGCAGTCCACCCTCAGCTTAAACCTAAATACTGTAGATTTTTGCAGCGTACACACACACAAAGTACTCTTTTGCTAAGACATACAAATTCACAGTAAGCTCAGAGTGGCATTACACCATCTAGTATTCTAATACCATTTTTATTGAGCACAGTAATTTGTGTCATACTGCAAAGAAGCACAACGTTTCTCTCTGTCCTTTTATGTCCGAAACAAAACAGGGGGAATTAATTCAGAAGGGCCAAGGACTCACCCACACACTTGTGGACACACATAAACTGATTGATATTCTTGAGTCAAAAAATCCCCCCAAAAAACAAGCCGTCAAAGCCAATACAATAAAGTGAATATATGTCGACCATGTACCGCTATGTCACATGCAAATCCCAATCCTATCAAATGTTACAACATATGAACAGATTAAACACAGATGCAACACAAAGCAGGGAAACACACAAGAGAGACAGAGGCAGAGACACACATGGTCTGCAGCTTTAAGAGGTCCCTGTCCCGCCCACAGACTTCTCCACTACACAACCAGAGTAAACTGGTTTGAGGCGTTCTCTCAGCCAAGCCCTGAGCCCTGGCTGAGATCCACTCGGAGTCGCAGTGCACACACGCACACACACACCCACACACACACACAACACACACATACTGAGAGCAAAAACTTCAGACTGGAGTCCAAAAACACAAACAAAAGTACGCCGTAAATCAGCGAGCGTGCGTGTACCTGCTCACACACCCACTCATAGAAGAGACTTTAAAACTTTATGGACATCGAAAAAGTTTAGATAGTGTTTCAGCTCCCACACTGATGAGAATGCGTTGGATGGGAGGCAAACAGATCACAAAGGAATGTACTAGATATGAAGGAATTACCGAACACTACGCAGCCATGTCCACACAAAAAGAGGCTGGTTTTCAACACTTTAAAACAAAAGGGTTAAGTGTGCATCTGTGTGTGTGACAGTTTGTGTGCTCTATATACAAAGCGGGCATTTTACGAAACGATATAAATACCAACAAGGAGAGGATCACAGTATGCAAAGAACAATATCTGCACTAAAGCTTAGACAGAAGACATAGGCGGGTAACACACATATGCACAACACACACATACACATGCATAAACACACAGACAGTCTGGATGAGAGATAAAGAGATAACAAGATTAGCCGTGTCCTGTTTCAGTCATTAGCCTTGTTTTTAGCACTAAACGGGGCTGGCTAGGGACACGCTTCTGATTTATTGGCCTGCGTCTCTTCCTTAATAATATTTCTGTGCTGTTTTTATCATTTTGTTGCAAACCCGGACCACATGTTGTTAGCTTGACTTTAGAGTTGAATAAATTGACTATATGGCACTGAAAAGCATACCGATAGCATATCACTGTCTGTCTTTGGTGTGTGAAGGTGTGTGTGTGTCAGTGAAACCCAAAAAAACTAACATTTAAGAAGGTCACCTGGCCTATTAGTTGATTCAAGAGATTATTCAAACTTTGATATCCATTTCCTGTACTCACACACCCACACAGAGGATTACCAACACACACACACACACCAAACCCCATTAATGCCGTAGCCCCCCCAAACCTTCTCTGATTTCCTGACACAGAGCTTTTTCCTTCCTCTGGTTCCCGGCAGAGGCACGATCCTCACCACAATTTTATTACATCTGGAGACAGTTGTTGTGTTTCAGTGTGTGCATGTGTTAAGCGATAAACAAAACTAATGGCTTGTTTTAGACATCCATTCTGAAAAGAAACCATTGATGATTGGCTCTGACTCATGATGACGGTTGTGGAGCTAATCGTCTGTTGCTGACTTTAATAATAATGGTTACACCAAGTTAGATACAGATGCTTGCCACGCTCTGCCATTTGAAAAACCAGCTGCGTCATCCTTTACTTAAGGGATGTATACAGGAAATCAGATACAGTGTCAGATGTAGGGTAAAGTTAATTCATTTGAAAGGTGCTCTGTGGCGCATGAAGCCAAAATAGTTTGATTTCATAGTATATGAAGTCCATTAGCCCCGCCTTCTAGCCACTCAGCCTTGGGATCATTTACAGGAAATAAGGAAAGAAAATAACTCTGAATTCAACTAAATTCACGTCCGTTTGTGAAATCATTTAGGAACCATTAAACTTGGCAGCAGTAAATATCTTAAGAGCGACTGTACAAACGGAAGAGTTATCTTCTTATTTTAGAGAAAGTTAAATTAGGGATACCTCTATTTAGCGCCCAGAAAGAGGTGATTGTAGAGCAGAGATATCTGTCAACAAAGTGGGGCTATATATATATATATTTGGGCGGAAGGGTGCTTTGGGTTTTTGTGTTTTGACTGCTGAAAACTGGATGTTTACTAAAGTATTTTAGTCCAACCACGGTTTATAGTGTGCAGTAAATGTAATGATGACATCATAAACATGTCCTCCTCCATACATGCAGATGAACATGTGTAGGCACATACGCACTGAGGTTATTTAGTGTACTAGTGACACCTGTCATGCTCTAAACTGTGAAATTGACGAGCCCTGTCACTGATAAGCATGTGTTTTATGAGACAGGTGCTATGCCTCAATAGGGAAGTCTTGATCCCATTAACTCTGTGTGTGTGTGTGTGTGTGTGTGTGTGTGTGTGTGTGTGTGTGTGTGTGTGTGTGTGTGTGTGTGTGTGTGTGTGTGTGTGTGTGTGTGTGTGTGTGTGGTGAGGTTGAGCATGTTGTGTTTGTCTCTGATTGAAGCATTTGACCAACTTAAGTAGTACATACACAAACAAAATCATACAGTCACTCTCTCACACCCACACACACACACCCTCTTACCTTCCTTCCTCCCTAAACTTCTGTTGGCTTCGGCTGAGCCAAGAACCAGCCCCTCTGGCAGCGGCACAACACATGGGCCGGCTAAAGTCAACAAGCCAGGCCCAGGCACATACAGGGAGAGGGAGGGAGAGAGAAACACTACCGCTTTGAGCCAAGACACAAGTAGCAACAACAAGCTCAGAGTGCAGAAGAAAGGGGAGAGTATTGTGTGCCCAGGCATGAGAGAATCTGTGTATTATGTGCAATCAACAAATAAGCTTTGTAAATGACCATATTCCAGCCAAAATGCGGAATTTTGTGAGTTGCTTTCAAGATACACTCACTCATTATTAGTCGGATACAGTTGAGAGAAAAACATCCAACACTCTAGATTTCCACCCCAGGACCTACAGTAAGAGGACATTTGGACTTTGATACGGCAGATGGCGATATGATGCTTTCGTGTTGGTGTTTTCCAACCCCCAACCCCATCCACTACTAGATTGGGCTCTCTGCTGTTGTTGGGGAGACGACTGGGCCTTCCCTCTATATTTAACATGGCACATTTGATCCAGTTAGCAGCCCAATAGAAATCCCAAGGATCTGAGTGGTTTATATAGTGCACATTGCAATCAGTATAAGCCCACTAAAACGGACCATATTCCTAACTATTTGTTCATTAGTGTATAATCCTCTGAAAGCAAGTATGGTTAGCTTAGTTTTCGTAAGCTTAGAGAATGAACCTTTTGTATAGCCTATATATGGAGCGGTACATAGGGAGCGGTTCCTCTGCCAAGGAGTCGGACAAGTTGCACCACCTTGTTTCTACAGTATAGTCCAGAACATCATTGTATAAATACTGCTGCTGCTGCTACTTTTCTACCCGAATGTGTACTTTGTAAGTTGTAATAATAACTTATTTAAAATATTATGTGCATGCCGTTTGTCTAATAGTGTTTTCTTTTTTGTCTCTATCTCTACTTTTGCCGTTACAATGGAAATGTCCTCTCTGTTGGACGAATGAAGGAATTCTTATTCTTATTCTTATCAAACCAAACACGAGCTTCAGGTTTTTAACACCACCTTAAGGCCACTATAGGTAAATGTCCCCAATAACTGGCCCCCAACAAATGATCAGCTAGCAGTCCACACACATTACACTTCCTACAGTGTATATTTCATCTTAATTTTGCTGCCTAAATGATATAATCATCCCCCTCCCCTTCATGTGTTTCCCACCTGTTTGGCACTGTCAATACTCAGTTTACCACAACGCAATTTTCCACAACCCCCCTCTCACTGGGAGTATCTGCTGCCTGTTAAAGTGCAAACTGTGAACATTCTTCAGCAATTGTAACAGTCAACAGGTTACAGAGATGATTGTTCCATTCTCAAAAGACCAATATCAATGTAAGTGCTGGACCAAACTAAAAGGCTATCCATTTGACCAGGGGGAAAATACAGTTTTTTGCACGGACTGCATGAAAGAAACCTATCTGTTTGGTATCAGGATGATTCAAAGCTGTGCAAAGTTCAATTTGGTGGGTGTAGTTTTCACTGGGGTCTTACACTACCAACACTAATCTCTGATCTCACTTTCAGCACCAGTGCTGGTCACTTTAAATAGCACCTATCCAGCCAATGTGATCATGTGATGGACATGAACCCCAAAACAGGCCTCAGGTTGTATTTCTGAGTCTCTGTATGTACTGTATGCATGTATGCATATCATATCAGAAGCAGCTGCGCGTGCCCCAGATTGGCATAGAGACTT